GGATTCCGACAGGGAGAGCTATTTTCAGGTCTCTATGCTGTTCTCTGCAGGAGTCCGGTTATTTAGCATCAGTTACCCAGCAGACTCCTCCAAGCTTCCGTGGCTGGTATTTGGGAAGTGACACCATAGCTTGAAGGATGGCTGTGAGAGATTAAACTACGGCCCATCTATGGCAAATTTTTACAGACAGTGGGAACAGTGGATCTGAATATATAATCCATGGTTATGCCACCTGGAGCTGTCTAGTCTCATCAGAGCAGTGTAAATGTAAGACCCTCAGAATGAGGAGTCTCCCAGTCTCGGTCGGTACCCCAAGAACTCAATGTCCAGTCGCTGCAACATGCAAGAGACTTTAATGAACAGGAAACGTTTGCGCAAACGGGCTCCTCCAGCAAGCAGGCTAGAGAGAAGCCCCCTCCCCCGGGCCCAGGTGTTTTTAAAGGCAAAACCCACAAGCTTAGGGAGGGGGTGGGACCCTCTGTCCATTGAGTACTGTCCTTTGAGGCCGGATGGTCTCGCTATTAGGGTCAATAGACCTTAGGGCCTCAGGGAGTGCTAATTAATCTTGTTTGGGCAAACCGGAGGTACAGTTATCTCTTTATTTCTTAAGGACCCTATTCACCACCTGCTGACTCACGAGAAAGGAGGGGCAGTGTGAATTCTTGGTATCTTGTTATCTCAGGGCTCTGTGAGGGGAAGTTAGCAAATTCCAAGGAACAGATATTGGTCTGGGTTAGCTTTTCAGGTTAGTCTGTCCTTCATTTCAAGTGGGGGGGGGGTTCTTTAACTTTACTTTTTTTGTCTTTGATAAGTACATGTGTAATACATGGCACAGACTTGTGCTAAAGAACTTAGGTGTCATTCATCTGAGATTCAAATGCATCTAGGTGTTCTATGAAGTGGCCTCCAGTGGCAGCCAAATTTATTAGTAACCTCCAGAGCTCTCTGTCCTTAAGTCACTATTAGACAAATGATTTTTAAAAAGCAAAATAACAACAACAATAAAGAGAGTCAACAGATGAAGAGAAGCTGAGAACTTGTGAAGGGATTTGTCTGGAGTGAGAGGTGTGTGGCTGGACAGTAACAACATGAAGTTCAAGCATCCTTGCTTCATGACAGTATTCCCCAAAATCACATTGGGAAACAAAGTGGAGGAAATTTCTAGAAAGAGGTAATCCTGATGTGGCACTGGGTAGACTCTCGGCATTATTGAAAACAATCTTTAGTAGGTGCTGTCTCACTGAGCCACAGTCCCAGCCCTGTGCTTAAAGTTAAAGGAATTCTCAGTTTCAGTCTTGCGGAACTGCCTCTGTAGGGCTGTGGGTTAGAGCAGAAACTGCATTTTTTTTAAAGGAAATTTCCCCTTTGAATTAGAAAAATAGTAAGAATTAAAGGTTAGAGATTAGAATCTTTCTGGAATTAAATGCTTGGGAAATTTTAAAGCTGCTTTTTAGTCAATAGAAAGACATTATTGTTTTTTAGAATTGATTTCATTCAGTGGTTGTCAAATTTTGTTCAGTAAAACTTTTATATATAAAATCATACCTAGAATTCTAGTTGGTCAGGGTATTTAATTAGTTAAAAATGAACTCCTCTGATATGGATAATGCTCTTGTACACTGTAAAGATTTGTCACTCGTATTGGTTTAAAAAAACAAAACACTGATTGGCCAGGAGCCAGGCAGGAAGTACAGGAGGGGCTACCAGACGAGGAGGATTCTGGGAAGAGGAGGCAGAGATGCAGTCACCAGCCAGACGCAGAGGAAGCAAGATGAGAATGCCTTACTGAGAAAAGGTGCCAAGCCGTGTGACTAAACAGAGATAAGAATTATGGGTTCATTTAAGTTATAAGAGCTAGTAATAAAACTGAGCAGTAGGGCAAACAGTTTATAGTTAATATAAGCCTCTGTGTGTTCATTTGGGACTGAATGGCTACAGGACCTGGCAGAACAGAAACTTCTGTCTACACTCCTCTAAGCTGAAATACATGCTGAGCGCTAGCCATGTGGCTGTTGGAAAACCCATGTTTGAGCTGCACATCACACCACATTAACATGGCTTTCTGTGACTTTACATCCATCTTCACAACTGACTGCATGCCGTCAGTCATAACTGTATCTGCTTTGTCTGAGTTTCATGGTATTGAGAAGATCTTTATTCATGAAGATGACATGCAACTGATAAAGATAAAAAAAAAATCCACCTTGCAATCCAAATATAGTTAACAAAGTTCCCTAATAAATCCCCTCATTTGCCCAGAAGTGACTCAAGGCAGGGGGGTACATACATGTGCTACAATTTTCTGTGAATGGGGGCTTAGATGCCCTCCTGTCCTCTGGAGCAGTCACAATGGGGATGAGCCTACCTCATAGTGGGCTGTTCTTCCCAGCCTCCAACTCCAGCTCTTCAGCCCTCTGAATGTGTGCTCACAGCACTAAGGGCTCCCATAAAATGGGAGTGGATGTTTGGCTGTGTGTGCCACGAGGACCACATGGATGCTTCCTCTTCCTCCTCCTGGTAGGTGAGGGCAAACCACGCAAACCCAGACTCGGGACGATAGGAGCAGAGGCCTAAAAGTCCTGGGACAAGGGTGACATCCAGACCTGGCTGTTGCTGAGGGCCTCATGGTGGCCAGGGTCTGGGCAGGTGTCTGTAGCGCCTGTTGCCACTGAGGGTGGTGTGGATGCCCAGGGTCATGTCGGCCACCTGAATCCATGTTGGTGTCTGAGGGTCATACAGATCTGAGTGGCCTGGGCTGCTACCCAATGCCATGGTGATGTGCAGGCCTGGCTGCAATGCCACCTGGGGCAATGGTCCACAGTCCTGCCATGGTTGGAATCTGAGTTGAAGTCCGAAGCCTGTGTTGCCACCAAAGGTCACAAGGAAGCCTGGGGTTGGGGCTTTGTTGGTACCCAGCGGCCGTACGACCGCCAGAGCCACCCTGATCTGAGTGGCCAATGCTCTATACCTGGAGCCAGGGTGTTTGTTGTCCAGGCCCAAGCTGCTGCCAAGGGCCATGTCTGGGCACATGGTCCAGCTGTAGCTGGGGTTGTGTTGATGTTTGGGGCCGGAGTGCAGGCCATAGGAACCACGCCTGGTGACATTAGAGGACCATGCTGAGGCAGCCCTGCCCTGCCCTGCCCTTTGCTGGCCCTGGAAAACTAGTCCTGCCTCTCACTGGACATGCAGGAAGAGAGCTAGCCCCTGCCCTTAGGAGATATGGCCCCACCCATCACCACAGGAGAGGGAGAATCCCCCACCCCAATGGCAGGCCTAGGGGAGGGACTTCACCCCCTTACCTAAGGCCAACAGCCGAGGACTGCCCACCTCAGCTACCACCCAGGCCTACAGCGGGGCCTTGGGTTGGCCTCCCCCAACATCTACCCCGTCTAGGACCTGCTGGAGCACAGGAAGGCACTAATCCTGTGGAATGGTACCTGCAGGATCTCCATGACTCAGGGCAGTTGTGGGATACACGAGAGTTTCAGTGAGATCCTGGGATGGTGGTGTACCAGAAACCAGAGGCCCTGAACCAAACCTACGACTCACTGCGACGGACATTTGCAAGCACAGCTGATTGTACAAAAGGATGTACTATGACACCATGCTGCCAGTGCCACCAGGACAAATGAGGTATTGAAAGGCAGAAAAGATGGAGAAGCAAAGCGGTTTGTTTTGCTTTGTTCTTGTCTGCTTGCTTTTGTTTTGATTTTTAAAAATTGTCTTGGGGGAGCCACTGTAGAGCTGAGGGGAGGATATGGGGGGATTGGGAGATGAGCAGAGTTAGGATATGTGCTGTGAAATTCCCAAAGGATCAACAAATACATGCTTAAAAAATATCCCAACATACAGTGAGTTTGTGTATGTGTGTGTACTAGTTCCATGGGGGGGGGGGGGGAATCAGTGTTAAAAAAAAAAAATTGCCAGGCATCAAACTCATGGAAGTATCCCTGGTCATACAGGCAATGTCTTTATCGTTTGTCGCACTGTTATTCTCCTGCCAGCACTGGTTTAATTGCGAATATAGTCAAATGGCAACACTAACTCTGTCCTTAGAACCCGGTCTGGGGCTGCAGGGGTGCATCAGTGGTTCAGGGCTCTTACTGAGTCCTAGCACTCATCCAAGCCAGGTGCCCCCGGATGCCTGTGCCTCCAGGTCCAAGGGAGTCAGACAGGCTTGCTGATAGAACACCAGCCCCAGGTTGTGGGACAGGCCCTGACTCAAAAGCTTGTGGCCTCTGCATGTGTGTACTTGTAATAGACATGCACTAATATTCACACACATAAAGCTTGTGGTTTAAACAAACAAAAGAAAACCCACTTTTCATTGAGTTCTCCCATGGAGTCATCTACTCTGCAGCAAATGGTGCTTCTGTAAAACTCAGCCCTGATGTCCTTCTAGCTCCATGTGGTTTAAGGACCAGACAGGCCTCCACCCTTCAGGTGCTGCCCATTTTCATCCACCAACTCCTTGACATGGAAGCATCTGGATGTATCATCAAACATGTTGTGTTATGGTTTGCATTTCAGATAATGTAATTTATTTTCTTGACTTCTAGCTTCCTTTTACACAAGAACCCAAGACATCAAGAATCTGAGAAGAATGTTTTTATGGGGACTACAAACTTGCACCCAAGAGCAGTGCCTTTTGCTTCAAGTTGTTTTGGCTGTATGGAAAGTTTTCTCAAACACCCAGATCCAGTCCCTGGCTTGAGGTACTGAGGCTAATTACATACAGGAGGGTGAGGAAACGTCTCCACAACGTCAGGCCCAATGCTCAGCTTACAAAATGAAACCTAAAGGGGTGGGTGGGGCCATATGGGGTCTGGAAGCAGGGATGGGAACAGGAATAGGAGCCCTGGTTTCTCTAGGGCTATTCTTCCATGTGATGGCCACAATGTGGGTTCGTAAGGACTCTTACCAGATGTGCTGGCTGGTGGGTCCTTCAGAGTCCCCCACCCTCCCACATGCACCACCACACAGAGCCAAGTGGTCCACAATCAAGAGAAAAGATATTTAATTATTTCTCAGTCTAATCTCTTAAAGCGCTCAAAGTCTTTTCACAAGTGCAAGGGGAGGGATTGTTCTCAGCCAACATTTACCAGTAATTCCGACACACGCAAAGAAGCTGCCAATCACGGTGCTTTATACTTACTTTAATTTCTGCACTGAAAAAGAAAAAAAAAGTAAAAACATGACAAGTTACAGTGACATCATCTTGTCCTTAATCTCTGCTCTTGGGGCCAGGTGGGGAGGGGGGAGAAAGAGACAGGAAAACATTGAAGCATGGTGATCATGTGACCAAAGCCTCAGTCTGGCTATGAAGGGTTCTATTTGCCTAGACATGGTACTGTCAGCACGCCAGCTCAGAAACAAGACAGACAACAGTCAAAATACATTAAAAAAAAAAAAAAAAAAAAAAAAAAAGAAGAAATCCCATGATTCCATTCTTAAAATCAAGCACAAAATCTGACAATGAGATCAAGGTTCACATGTCCCCGTGGGATCCGGGGATGGCTCCAGGGAGACAGCCATGTAACATGACTTAGACCATGGAGCAGACACCTGCTCTACCCAGAATGCTGACACAGGGGTCTGCAGAGCAGCTCCTCCTCTCCATTGCAGCTGCATCCTGCATGGGAAAGGGGAGCAGGGGTCTGCTCCCTACCCACTTTCCTGATAAGCTACAAGAGCCACAGGGGCTGGGGTCTGTGCTTTGGAGGCTGCTGCCTCTGGAATGTTCCACGCTCTCACGGTCTGGTGGGCTGTAAGTTTTTAGGTACGCTCCACATGCTGTTTAAGTGCTTGCTTTATTTCTCATGTGCAAACTGTTACTGTCTAAAGCTTTCAGAAGGACGCGTACAGACAATGGACACCCTGCAGAGAGGAGGGTATTCGCAGGTCCTGCTCACTCCCAGGGCAGGTGGGAAGGGGAGCGTTACAGAAATAGTTAAGAGAAGGGTGCTCCGAGGCAGTTAAAATCTAGTCCCTGATTCAGTCCGTGGGGTGAGCGGCGTCCTCAGTAGGTGATTGTCCACTCCTTCACAGAGGCGTCATGGGAGGTGGTGACCAATGTGTGCTCATCCAGCCAGGCCAGGCTGCTGACATGGTGCAGCCGGTGAGCATCTGGGGAAAAGAGGATAGTGTGAGGAAAGGCGCTCACTCTTCCTCTCCCTATATCTGAGTAAGGAGAGAGAACCACAGGGCTAAAGTCATCAGTGTCAACCGGAAACTACCACAGTGGCAGTTTTACTTTCACCAAGGACAAGTTTGTGAGGACAGAGGTGGCAACGGCTGAGCTCAGCCTTGCACCCATTCCAGGAGACCAACAGTACCTCCAGGCTTCTGACCACCCACGCCAAGTGGCTCCTCAAGTCCCAACACTTACTGACCCCCCTTTTCACATACATGACAACACAGAACAGATACACTGTGGGTCCACAGATCTACATTCACAGGCTCAACCAGGGAAAACAGCCAGCTCTGGCTGTGCTCAACAGACAAATCAGTTATTCTCAGATCACCACAGCACGACAAGCGTTTATCAGTGGTTTGAAGTGTACTGATGTTGTGTGAGCTATGCCATTTCCAACAAAGGGCTGGACCACATGGAGCTAGGAGCGGAATCAGTGTGATAAGATGATGGATAATCAGAATAATGTTTTTTAAAAAAAAGTCTCTTGAAATTGGGGCTACTTGGTAAAGCACAGTTCCCATGATCTTTCTGCTGATGTTACCATGGTGGGACTGAGTTAACTCAGTTGTGGGCTAAGGCACAGGAGCAGGGTGGGGAGGAAAGATGTCAAAAGCTTTTCTTCACATATGTCCTACATATGGAGATCAAGGATTCCTAATGATTGTCTCAGGCTCCCTCTGCAGCCCAGCAGAGTGCCTGGTATATGCTGGAGGGAAGGACAGAGCTACATCTCCTTCAGGTCATTTCTTAAAGCACAGACCCTGGGTCCCCTGACCCTAGGGAGCATGGTCAGGAAACTGACCCAGGGCCCAGGGGTGACTTACCTTGGATCTTGACTTTGGTCTCTGGGTCACTCAGTGTCCACACGTACACCATCATGTCCATGCCACCAGAGGCAAAGTGCTCATTGTCTGGTGACCAGGCCAGGCACACGATTTTTGCGTGGTGTCCATAAAAAACATTGTTCTCCTAGTCCAGAAAGAAAACAGAGGTGTTAGACTGGAGTGTAGGCCAGAGTACTCTGTCCTTCCTCTCAGCCAGCCCTCATAGTAACAGAGAGAAGCCCTAGTCCCCGATCACTGCCAGCACCCTCTCCAGAGCCCCACTATATGCCTGCCACTCCTGGAGATGAAGACAGACATAGTTGAGAAAGTCAAAGCCCAAGAGCACTGGGCTAGGGCCCTCCCCCACACCCTCCAGTCTAGGGGTCTGCGCCCCACTCACCGAGTAACCATCAGCCACACTGAACACCGTGACCACCTTGCTGGCATCACACACGGCCAGGAAGGCACCATCATGGGAGTAGGCCAAGTCTGTCACTTGCCCCTTGGCTTCTAGGAGCTTGCCTTCATCCTTTAGCGTGGTTCCCAGGATGGAGTAAATACGCACATTGCCATCCTGTAGGCAGGGACAGGAAGCAGTCACTCCTTAGCATACACCCATGTGCCCTCTGTCATAGGGGAAGGTCAAGGTGTTAGCAAACCCATGCTCTGCCATAGCTCTGTAGGCACCAGACTGTGCCTGGGGCTCTGGCTGCCAAGAAATGGCTGGTTTCTCCTTACATACTTCACCTCAACTTCCTCTTCACCTGGGCAGAAATGCCTGGACCCCAGGCCTCCCTAGTCTTGTTCTGTGTGCTGGCTGGCTGCCAAGGAGGTCCCCTAAATAGCGCTCATGGCTCCCTGAAAGGTCAACCTGGAAAAAACTGCACAAATAGCTTCCCAGTTGTGCCTGGAAAGCTGCACACATCTGCTCCAGCAAGCTTCCTGTCACCATGTGCCAGGTACACCTTGTGTAATAGTCATTCTTGGTTAACTTGACTACATCTGGAATTAACTAAAACCCAAGAGGCTAGGCGCATCTGTGAGGATTTCTTAAGCCAGATCTCTTGAGTCAGGATTAAATGATGTGCCTTTAATCTGGGCTACGCCTGCTGCTTGTCTATATAAAGGACATGAAGGAGGAAGCTTGTCTCTGCTTACTCCTGCTCTCACTGGCAAGTCCATTCTTTCACTAGCATTAGAGCCTACTTTAGGGTTCCAGCATATACTGAAGATGCTGGCCTTCTCCAAGCTCCAAACTGCTCACATACCAAGGTCACAGGGTAAAGAAGAAAAGGGCCTTACCAAGCCCCCAACCGCCACTGTGTCCCCACCAGGGTGCACAGCCACGACCTCCGGCTCGTAGCCAGGGTTGTCGATACTGAAGCATTTCTTCTGGTCCTTCAGGAGGACAATCTGTGACAGGGAAGATGCAGTCAGATCAGTGGCCCCTTACAACACTGCTCATCAGCAAGAAAGGTGAGATCTGCTTAGTGGCTCTAGGCTCTAAGTCACATCCTGGGTCTGTCTCAATCTTTTGATGGAGGCATTTCCCTCCTCACCATAAGGAGCATGGCCACAGGCCAGAACTGAGAAAATATATTCAGTGACAAGCATGTGAAGTGCTGATCTTTGAAGGACAAAGGGGCAGGAGTATCAGAAAGGGACTTAGCTTAACCACCAGAAGCAGTGCTCTGACTCTGAGGATTCCACCTCTAGATCCTAGGTCACAAGAAACAGCTAACGTCTGTATAGTGCAGGTTTCTGTTCACCTGGAGGACAGTGTGCTATCCATGACAAAGGTTACTGGACACTCAGCACTGTCTGTCCAGCCCTTCAGGGCAGCAGTGGAGCTCTGTGGGAACTCTGCAGGTGCAGGAAAGAGGAGCTGGGCAGCACAGCATAGTGGGGATGGGGGAGGTGTAGCAGGAGGTCTGCAAATGTACTGTTCTGAGAGAACCCTCACATCTTACCTGCTCTAAGAAGGCTACATCTGCCATGCTGGGGCCAGTCATACTAGCCTGAGCAGCAGATACTTCAATATGTTTGCTGTCAGGACTTTGGAGATAAGTGGCAGCCTGAACTTGACTAAGCTACCTGCTGGTTAGGAGTCAAGGTCACACAAGGACCTTGGCTCATCCTTGACAACCAGCAGAGAACATGGTGTACTCACATGCACACAGAGAAAAGCCCTTCTATTGGGAGATGGTGCCCTCATCTGCTAAGACTCTGTGGAGGAATCTGCCACCACCTTCTGAATGGCAGATAGTCTGAATCCTTACTTTTACCCACCCTGACTAATTCTGAGCAGCCTTAAGGACAGGGTCAGCCTATGGCCACTCAGATGAAGTAATTGGGACTGGGACAAGGAGATGCCTGTCTGAGGCCTTACCACAGAAAAGGCCCTAAATCCTCATGCACTGTTCACCAGCACCAGGTGCGGATACAAGGCTGGCAGATCTGCTGCAGAGAAGCAATGGCCCAGGCCACCCCATACAGACATTCCCTTTTGTGCCTGTGGCTGCCCAGACTGAGTGCAGTAATTATTTGGCAGCGACATCTGATTATCTGGGACACAGAACCCACTCTCCCTTTAGCAATCAGCTTCGCAAACCAGGGAGGGGTGGGGAGATCCTCAGTGGCCCTTTCTTCAGCAGGGTCTGTCACTCAAGCCAATAGGAAGCACTAGTCAGTTGTTGGCTCTGCCCACATGATGGGATGCCTGGGTTTGCAGAGACGACATGTTGTGAAGCAGAATTCTGCACAAAGTAGGTCAGGCACAGATGTGAGCCAAGGGCTCTGTTCTAGACACTGGAGAAGAGAGATGCAGGGACTACAGAGAGTTAGAACCTAGCATGGGCTGGGATCCACCTGACCCTCATGTGGCAGTGTCACTCAAAGTTAAGCTGGACATGGAGTATGACAACTGTTATCTTCACAACTACCCTGTGCTTCTGTTAGGAAGAACACAAGAGCTCAGAGAGGGCAAGCTTCACTAGGGAAGGGCAGGGATCCAAAGAATGACAAAACCATGTAGCGGAGGGCCTCAGAGCTCAGGGACCCTTGGCTCTACACTTTGGTCTCATGCTTACAGCCCAGTTCTGCCTTCTTTCTGGGTCTCAATTTAGGGGGCAGCACTTTGCCTAAAGTAGCACAGTGAGTCCCTGTCAAGGCAAGCCAAATGAGCCTGCAGCACAAAACACTGGCTACAAGTACTTGTCATTACACAACCTAGAGTCACCTGGAAGAGGGAACCTCAACTGAAGAATTGATTTAATTAGATATGTCTGTGAAGCACTGCCTTGACTACTAATTGACACAAGGAGGGCCCAATACATTGGAGGAGGTGCATCCCCAGCAGGCGGCCCTGGGATAGGTAAGGAAGCTAGCCAAGGGTATTGGGACACCACTAAGCAGCACTTCTTCAGACTCCCTGCTCTGCTGGTCCCCAGGAATGGACTTTTACTAGACTTAAAGTCAAATAAACCCTGTCCTCCCCAAGTTAGTTTGGTCTATGTTTTGTCACAGTATCAGAAAAGGAAACTAGAACAAGGGACATGGGTGGGATTCAGAAACTAGACAGTAGTTCTACGTCTCGTATCTCACCACCGCTGGTCAAAATGGAGCCAACCATACCTGTCCAATGCACACAACCACAGTATATCCCCCAGGGCCAACAGCTACACACTTTGGTTGAATATCCAGTTTCACAACTCCTTGTCCACTGTTGGGGAGAAGGGAGAGCAGGTTACTTCCACACTCAGATGGCTCAGCATGGAATGCATACATACACAACAAAAACTGAACTACTTAACTACGTGGAGAAGAAAACCTTACTGTAATCTCCGCGCTGAAGGGCAACTTGCTAAAATGTGAGGTGACAAAATAGGGCACTGAGGTCTTCTTATCACAAAGGAGACCAGCGTGGGGAAAAGGTATCAGCAACAAGCAATGGTTAGAGGAAGCTGCGCGGACTCTTCCTGCCCACCTGTGCTAAATGCAGACATATTATTCCCAACCATCTGGAGGCCCAAGGCTGGAATTTTCTAGGTAGGTACAGAAATGAGTTCTGTTTCTCCTGGGGGGGGGGGTCATAGCTACTGTTCCTCAGAAGGGAACCTGGACTCCAAAATCTTTAATGAAGGCCCCAGTTCCTTCTCATATTAGACAAATGTTATCAAAATTCATCTAGAGTAAGTTATAGCCATATCTTTCTTGAAAACATTAACTAGCAAGCTTCCACAGAATTGAGCCAAGCCGTGGTTGGCCTCCAGAGTGCCCAAGTCCTGACCCTTGTAGCCAAGGCCATGGGTTGCCAACAGGACAACTTCTGTGAGTGATGTCATAAGGCAATAGGAAGCAGAGAGCTGAGAACCCTGTGTGTGTTCTGGGGTGAATTCATTCTCAGATGCCAGGGGCCAGAACACATCGGTAGGTAGGTTTCCTGCCAGCTAGGTACATACCTGGGGGGGGGGCTATAAAGACCGTCCCCCACCAAAACAAAACAAAACAAAAAACCCCATCCTTCTGGTCAGACACATTTCTAGCATGATGTGAGTCCTAAAAGGCCATACTGGAGTCTGTCTGGAAGTACTCTACAGGGTGGGGGGTAGGGAGGTCTCACTAAGGTCAGCGGGTCTGCTTCTGACCCAACAATTTGGAGCAGACCATTTAGTCCCCTTCCTGCTGTGGATGAACACCTCTGACTCAGTGTCCATTTATACCTAAACAGGAGGTGGCTCCTCACACCTGGCCAGCATCTGGCATGCCATGAAGTCAGTGGGCTTCAGCTTGACCATTCAACAGCTCAAGCTCTATGGTCACTGCCTCTACTGGCAGAAAGATGCAAAGGAAAGCAGGTAAGGTAATGAATGAGTTGGCGTCTGCTTTGGGGCAGGGTCTACAGCTAGTCAAACCCACGAATCTGGTTACTAGGGCCCTGCAGCTCAGCACCCTGGGCTTGGTACCTGAATGACGTTCAGAAACAAAGTGTGGCTCATTCTGGGCCTCTATAGAGCCATGGCTGGCTTCCCTGGGCAGGACGTACCTGTAGTCCCTCAGCGTGAGGTTGGTGTACCGCACAGTATCATCCATGCTGCAGCTGACCAACTGCCCAGATTCATCCACCGTCATCCTGGAAACCTGGTTTGTGTGGCCTTTTCCAGAGAAGGAGTCATTCTCTCCTGTTTCTGAATCCCAGTAATGTGGAATAGGATTAAGGAGAAACCAGACCTCAGGAAGGTGGTTATCTACTGCTCTGGAGAGGTATGGCTACCCTTCATGCAGGCAGAAGCTACCACAGAAAGGACAGGAGGCATTCTCACGGATGGCCAAGCTTGGAATTTCAGAAAGCTAAGGCAGTGTGAGCTAGCAGGGCAGCCTGGCTACTAGCCAAAGGACCCAGGCACCATGTTCAGAGAGCAGCATGGCTCATATGTCACTGCCCACTGGGACTCTGCATGTGGGCCAAATGCTCATTTTATTTTTCTTGAATCAGTAGCTGAGACTACGACCCCCCCCCTCCCCCCCGGTAAGCTGGCTATGCCTCAATGCTCATGTTACTACTGCCTAGGTGCTACTGGGTAGCAGCCTGAGGGTCGGGGGTCGGGTTTGGGGTCTACCTTCCGGGGCTGATGTGACCATACTCAGCCCGAGGGATTAGAAGATGTGGTTGAAGTGCACAACAAAAGACTCAGTTTGAGTAAACATCACCATTTCATGGGAGACTCAACGGACAGGAGCTGTAGGCATGACAATCCAGACACGGACTCTGAAGGACACAGCTCAAGTTTGAGTACACAGACAGTGGGTAAGGGATACAGGTGGTGCCAATGACTGGCTACAATCACAGGACACACTCTCCTAGGGGCTGCTCAGCCATCAGCTGTTACACTGTCCCTTGCCTAGTGGTAGAGGGTGTGTTATCCACCCTCTCTAGGACGGGAGCTCTTCCCAGGTCTTATGGACACCTGAGACGAAGTCAGTTTGGGAGGCATGCCTCCTCCAGGAAGCCAGCAGCACGTGGCTAAGAGGACATCGTGCAAAGGCAGCCTCACGGCGAGCACGCATAACAGGCACACCACTAATGGTCACACACCTCCTAAAAAAGCATACGTTGTGGGGGCGAGGGGCACAGAGAACCCACTCCCTCCTGAGTTCTGGCCCCAACTCTGTTGACAGGTCATGTAGCTTTAGGAAAGGCACCTTGGCTCTGTGGGCTTCAGTTTCTACACATTTAAAACAAAGTGCCTCTGCCAAAGGGTCTGTAAATCCTGATTCCTAAGACCCAACGCAAGGCACCTCATTCTAGAAAAAGAGGAGTTCACGTGCAGAGACCTTAAGCACCAAGCTAGGCTGAGCAGTAAGCAGAGTCCAGGGCCGCCTTCTGTCTAAAGCCTGGAGAGGTCAAGGCACCAGGTGCAGACGGATGCCAGAGGTCAGCCTCTTAGTGAGTACAGCTGGGGCTGGTGCCGTCTGGTTGGCCCAGCCTCTAGCACCATGGGAACAGAAAAGTCCTCTCTCTTGCCAATGTCTGTGTCAGCTCCCAGTCAAAGGATATTGATATGTCCATCATGGCTCCCAGAATAGATGTAAGACTTGCCACCATTTTTGTGCACTGTCAGACACTGGATGGATTTACTGTGACCCTGAGAGGGAGACAATGGGATGGGGTGAGCCAAGGTAGTACATCCTACCCTCTGCCAGTTATCGCTGGAACCCCAGCACACATGCCGCCCACAAGTAAGTCATGAGACACAGTCATCCATCTCCCAGTCAGCTGACCTGACAAACACCACATGCTGCTTCCCTCAATACCCAAACCTACCTGGGCTAGGACAAGGTCTACACCAAAGCCTAGCACTCAGCTAAGACACTTGGAGAAGGAAACCCTGCCCCCTGCTGCCACCCTTGAGCACATCAGCTGGGTCTCTCATAGGGAGTGAGGCAGCCAGGATAGGATCATACACACTGGAGGCCCGGGTGCTCTAGGTGTGACCATTCTGGCTCAGGCCAGAGTGCTTATTTTTCCTAGGACCCCTTCAACACTGATGAAGCAGGTGACCTTGTATACTAGAGAGTGCCTCTCACCTCTGTAATCGGCTCAGATAGCACTTTGCAAGTGTGCTCTAACCTCACTTCCCCTGGATCCCCACCTAGCCTCTGCTATTTTCCAGCAACACCTGATGGCTTGCTGGCCTGCTTCATGCTTGCGGCTTCCTCCTTACATCTTGTTTCAGAGATCCTGCGCATGTCCTTTGTTGCTACATTACCCTCAGATAACAGCCCTTGAGAATGCATTGTATAACTCCTTAAGAGATAGAAGCTAGGTTGTGTTCTGTTCAGTGTACCACAGGCTTCACACAAGTCCAGCAGACTGCCTGGCCTGTTGAATAAAAACCTAAGCTCAGCAAGATTCCAGAAGGACCTGTGTGCTTCCTGGAACAGTCTTGCTTGAAAGAGTTAAGATTTTGGCACTTGGCACAATGTCTGGTCCTCTCAGAGGCTGGGTTGTTTAACAAGCTAATAGTCTTGGGTGGTTCTCACACACCCTCTAGCTTGAGGAATAGGCTAGAGAAAGCACCACTAAAGCCAGCTCCAGAGGGATCCCAAGAAGCCCTTTGGGCAGCCAGGAAACCGTTTCCTATAAAGCTCCCAGGCAAGGTAGCCATGTAGCCAGGGCTAAGAATCATATTCCAATCTCAAACTTTTGGTTCATTGGTGCAGCTCATGCTCTCTGCAGCCTGAGTGGCAGCTGCCAGCTGGCAGGATCCAGATGGTTGTACAAAGAGGGTGAGATACAGGTTTCTCTGAGATCTTAAGTCTACACAATTTCTTACCACTGAAATTGGAGTCACAGCACAGAAGTTCCTGTCTTTGGGGAGCTCTGGCTTCCCCATGTACAACTTCCCACCTGCACTGGTACCCATGCTCTGTCACACATCCAACCCTAGGACCTAACAACAGAGGGGCTCCCCTCTGTCCCCAGGGCTAGCACCAAGTTACCTTGTTCTGAGAAGACACTACATGGGGTTGGGAGGTCAGGAGGCCCCTTTCTCGTGCACACCTATAGAATGGGGACTATGGTCCATCATATTTTGGTCCCTTTGAATAGCAGACTGTATTGGAGACTGTATTGGTCAGAGAAGAGCTGGGCTGGGGTTTTTACTGAACAGTTTAAAATGTAAACTCTGGAAACTATCAGCAACCAAGATTGGGGGGGGATCAGGGATGCAGGGAGCCTGTACCTGGATAGTTTTATGCCAACTTGATACAAACAAAAGTCATCCAAAAAGAGAGAACTTTAAGAAAATGCTTCTTTAAGTAAGACTGGGCTATAGGCCACCCTGTAGGTCATTTTCTTAGTGATTGATGAGGGAGGGCCCAGCCCATTATGGGTGGTATTATCCCTGAATTGGTGGTCATGGGTTCTGTAACAAAGCAGGCAGAGAAACACATGAAAGCAGTACCCCTTCATGGCCTCTGCATCGGCTCCTGCCTCCAGGTTCTTGTCTTGACTTCTCCATGATGGACAGATATAAAGCGTAAGCCAAATAAACCCTTTCCTCCCCAACTTGCTTTGGGGTCATGATTATTTCATTATAGCAACAGTAACCCTAACTAAGCAAGCCTGGCTGTGGACAGCCTCCCTTAAAATCATGGCTCAATCATTAAGGATTCTAGGGTCTTCAAAGGTGATCTTGGGGGCTCAGTGAGCCCCTGGGATGGTTTGGAACCTTGGGCTATGTTCTGTCCGTTGAGGCCTTGGCAGCTCATCCAACTTCATTTGCTTCTATCCTCTATTCCTGTGAACCTCAAGGTCTCTTTCACACTTACACCCATTTGCAAACTACACCATAATTCTGATTCAAGACCACCCCTACCCCACCCCCGCCGACCCCATTTGTTCACTTGGTCTCCCATCTCACCCGCCACAATCAATATCCTGCCCTAACACTCAGGATGCTCCTGGTCTGGTCCTGGAAGTTGTGAGGCACAGAGCAAGTCCTAAAAGAAAGCCAAGCCACTCAGAAGAATGCACTCCCCAACTGGGCATCACTCGGAATACTTCCAGGGGGGCTACTATTATCCAGAAATATCAGCCAAAACTCGCAGGGCCAACAAAGTCTGACATCTCAGCTTCCATTTGACCATCTGTTTCCCCCTTTCACAGCAGACTGCAGGAGTCTGTTCCCTATCCACACCACCACACCTACAGCAAGGCTCACCTTGATGACCCGGAGGGGCTTGCTGGGGTTGTTCTTGTCCAGATAGTTGATGTATCCAGACAGCGAGATGCTGAGGAGGTGGTCCTTCTGCCACAGGCAGCCCAGCTGCTGGTCCAGAACACTGGAGCCCATGGGAAACGTGTTGACCACAGAGTTCACGTTGACATCCCAAATCTTAGAGGTTTTGTCTCCAGAGGCAGATAGCAAATGAGTGCTATCAGGACTCCAACTAATCTATTTCAACAAAATAGTGCTACATGTCAGCCTCCATTTAACGAGAGACATCAGGGAACTGAAAAGGGTGGTAGAATGGACCCAGCCCCCAGGGTCCCTGCTCTGCCACTGGCTGTTCCCACCCCGACTACGACCTTAAAGCTCTGTGCCATGGCTCAACTCTTAGCTGCTTACATCAATATTTATATTCAAAAACAATCTATGACTTCACTATCAACGTAGAACTGGCTAAATTAAAACCAACAAATCAGGAAACAAGTCCATACTCACAGCATAAATTCCTCCGTCATGGGCCTTGCTTCCTCCAAGGGCACACACTTTCTCTCCTGTCTTTCCATCATAAATGAATATCTTGAAGAAACAAACAAGTTATGTAGGAGCTGGTGTAATGTGCCATTAGCTCACCATTTCCCCAGCAACTGTGGCTAGACAGTTGGAGCCTTAAGCAGTCTTTGAAATGAAATGAGACTTATGTCTGCTGGGGCTCTGGTGTCTCCCTGGGCAGTGGGAACAGGGAGCACCACTATGACCTTGCCTTCGTACAGTTGCCTTCTTGGTCTCAGGTCTTACCTGGCCATCAGCACCAGCTGTGGCAAATCTGTTCCCATCAGGAGAGAACCGCACACAGTTGACAAAGCGGCTGTGATCCTGTGGAGAGAGGGCTGTCACAAACTTGATAAAGCTTACAAAAGCTCTCTACTTAACCCCCACTGTCCCAAAAACTGGTAACATTCATCAGTCCACAGGAACGTAGCTTAGAGAAACTCCCAGGCAGTCCTTCATGGCATAGCTCAGTGTGAAAGGCTATTCTTCAGCCAGGCCCGTCTCTCTTATCAAGTGCTTTCTGGTGCATCCTCTTCCCAGGCAGCTTATGTACTAAATTACTGGGCTCTGAGATAGCCACACAAGGCACCCCTAGTTAGGCCTAGTTAGCTCTGGGGTATTAGCTGAAGAGCAATGACTTTTAAAGGAAATCAAGCAGTAGCTGTGACATTCAGGATGAAGAGTCAGAGAGCAAGGCCTAAGGCAGTACCCAGTCTTGGGAGGCAGTGAGGGCACCAAGGGCCCCCACTCTGGTATGAGGAGCCCTTACTTGTGTTTGTATCTGCCTGCTGTTCTGCTCTTTTGGTTGCTCTCATACTTCCACCCGTTGCAGAGGCCTCTAGCTCCATCTGCTTAATGTAGTTTCTCATACAGTGCATAGAGTCAAAGTCTTCCAAAGTCAGGAAGCCCTAATCATGTAAGGCCTATATGATTCCAGCTGTGCCACTGTCACAAACTGTCACTGTTTCAAGCACAGAGGCCACGGCAAGCTTAGGGCTAACTCCTCACAGCAGAGCGCGAGGCTCAAAGAAGCTGGGTAACTTGAGCTGCAACAGTTGTGAAAATTCAGGCTCCAGTTTCTTGTCCAGCATTGACTTGCCTACACTGGCAGGCCTGGGCAGGCGCTGGCCAAGAGCCACCCTAATGGGTCAGAGCCTTGACTCCTGAGACTAACTGCTACACATTCAGACATCTATCTCTGTGTGCAAAGGAGCCTGTTATACAAAAGAGCTTATACTCCATATTCATTAGTTGTGGGGCTCAAAGATGATGGAAGGAGTATCTCAGAGCCAAAGCCCTTCTTGACCACTGTGGGGTGGGACACACACCACCTTTGGGTCAAGGTCAAATAACCCAGAGGAGGTACTGATGTAGCTACAGCTAGACCAAGTATCCAGCTCACTTCCCTTTAATTCCACCCCCAGCACAAGGGCCTCACACTGGATCCTCCAATCCCTGCTCTGACTATTCCACAGAAAGAAGCAAAGGATCCAAACTGGTGTCAGCACACTCCTAGACCCCTGTTTGGACAAGGTGTCAGGGCACTCTAATTCAGAGGCCAAAGTGCCCACTCCAATAGAGAAGCCTGGAGACCAGAGAATGGAGCGGGGTGCTGACTTGTCACTGTAAAAGGAACATGTCCTGAAAGCAGACAGCAAATACTCAGCTCCAGACTCAAACTCCTTTGTTACCAATTCCCTGGGGCCAAAGAGACATACCTAGTGCTTGCCTGGCCAGATGCAGGACAATCCCGGGAAGCAATACTCCTGGGAGACTCCAGGACCTCAAACAGAGCCTGTGGCCAAACTCCAAAGCTTCTACTTTGTGGCCTCTCTTGGAAAACACACAACCTGGCTGGGGTAAGGTTCTGTGCCCTAGAGACCACATAGGTTTAAGAGGCCAAGAGAAGGTTAGGCAAAGCATACCATGAATGGGATGACAAGAGCCTACATGAGCCTGCTCAGAGGCTTAGCCCATCATTCCTTCCTGCAACTCAGCCAAGCACCACAGTGTACATGGTCAGGAGATGTCTGCTCCTGAAATAGACCCGTGCAGGCAGGAACAGCCAACAGCAGCCTATTAGCCAAAGAAAACGAGGGCTAAGAATAGTGTTTCCCGTTGAGAGGGCCCAGCAGTGTAGAGGGAGTTTGGAAAGTTTCTCAGTGAGTTCAGATGTTCAGCTGCCTCACATGGCTGTCTGAACCCTGTCACTCACTGAGCCAGACAAGACTTCTGGTCCCGGTGCCAGCCATCCAGAGGGGTCACGTTCAACCTCACAGGTCCAGTCTTTAATACCCTGTGTGACAGTGTACTGATGGGATTCAGGTGCACTTGGGCTCCTCTGGCCAGACTCTGTCCTGCACATGCTTACTACCTGGGTTGGCTCATGAAGGACCTCTGCAGAAGCCCTCCTGAATGTGCACTGTTCTCTAAAAGGAAGAACCATTTCCTGAAGATGGTGGTAGAGCCTTGCTCCAAAATCCCAAAGGTGTCCTTTGTGATTCCCCTACAGGGGCCTGCTAAAGGCTTCCAAAGAGCATCCCCAGTGTGCTTTGGGACGTGTACTGACACCTCAAGTATCATCGGCCTGCCAAAAGCATTACACACAGGAAAGGAAGCCCCAGAAGCAGAATAAAGATCTACTCCAGTAAGGACAAAGCATTGTCCTTTCCATGAAGACGTGCTCCCATGGAGTGTAGTCTACCTGTCTTATTTGCTGGTCACTCTGGGGATGGCATACTGAGACTCAGGGCTTGGTGTTGGTCTCTGCAGTTGGCAAATCTGGGCATTCACCAACAGCTGTAGCCAGGTCAGCCTTGGTGAGTGAAGTTCATGTTGTCAATCTCATGCAAAACCTCTTATCTCTGCTACCATGGCCACTTTGTTCATGGATCCACTGGGCAATGACAGAGGTGGCCAGCAGCAAGGAGGGAATCCCACTCTCCTATGACCCTGGAGGGTTACCTCTTAAGGTCACCTACTACACCCAAAAACCACAGTAGGTGCAGAGAGTTAAGTGCTTTGGCCTATTCCAAGAAATAAGTTTCTCCACCCCACCCTCAAACACAGACAAAACCCAAGTGTGGTAGCAAGGACTGGAAGGCATAACTAAGTATGGCTATGGGTGTACCTGGGCTCACTTCAGAATAGCTCAAGTCTATGCTCTGCTCTTTAGAGTGTTGTGACATGATCTCCGAACTTGGAAAAACAAGTTGGATATGATCTTTGTAGATCAGGTCCTATTTATCTTTTTCTCAGCCAGGTGCCACCAGAGACAGGGTAGCTGAGAATGTGGGGAAGGGGACTGTGTACCAGTAGGGCTCCCAGTGAGTCCACACAGGACATGGTGGAGAGTACAGGCACAGGCTCCTTGCCAGCAACAAACCCTCACTCTATGGCTCTCTAATAAATGCTCTTTAGCTGCTGTGTTCTTTCTGCACAAGTCTAATCCCCATGTGCAAGAGGAGGGGTCACTCCTGTTAAAGGCAAGGGAGCCCCACCTACCTACCAACAGCTCAGACCAAGAGTCCAGTGTGGGGAGACCTGGGGAAGGAATCACTAGAAAATAGCAGGACAGTTTCTGGTTGCTGCAGAAACCTCATCATCATCCCTCCCCAAGATTACACCCCAGAGATTTGCTGGCTCAGCATTCCTTAACACAGAGCCATGGGGCATCCACCCTGCTTAAGAACACCAGCCTTGGGCGGCATCTTTCAACAAAGCTCCCAGATAGCCATGCTACTATTATCTACCAATGGTAGATGCAGCAGACCAGGATGAGAGCTATAGGAGGTTAAGAACTTGGGTCAGCACACCTGCTGGACACACAGGCTTCACTTCGCTTCCCCGGGGATGAAACAGAACCTACTTCACTACAAAGAAGGAATCCCTAGACAGCCATCTGTACCCTAAGCCAAGACCTGTTTATGGAAACTGCCTACGACATGAGTCCTGTCCTTGCCCCTGCCAGGGATCCTGTCCCTATTTATGACTCGTTACTAAAAGACTAAAATTAACAGTCCTCCTCAGCAAGCCACTTTAAGGATATTATCTCATTTAATCCCTGATGAGTATGGACACTGGAACCACTCCTCTCCAGTGAGGTACGGACACTGGAACCACTGACATGAAAAAGATGAGTCTGAAGACTTGGAGAAGCTCCAAACTCAACTACCTCAAGGACAGAAGACATGTCCTTTCTGATTAAACAGTCGCTCTATCTCCTATTACTAGAACTAGTACTGGCTGCTTTGTTCATGGTGCGTGGGAAAGAGTCACTGGGAAAGTTAGGGCAAGCAAGAGAGCCCCAGGGTGGCTGCCCACATCACTGAGCCTTCTCCCCCATCACTGGCCCTCATTCTAGTGTATTAGCCTGACCACCGCCCTATCACTCACCCTCACTCCAGAGTACCAGCCTGAGCACTACAGCAGTGATAGGGCATGAGCACCATTACCTCACAGACCACCATCCTGTGATGGGAAACAGGAGGAGGAGGAACCTGGCCAAGCCAGGGACAACTGCAGAGCATAGATTTCAAGATCAAAATGCACAAATGCACCTAGGAAAAAGGTTGAGTACTTGACTCTTCAATCAGATTCTACTCCAGACATCTCTGCTCTGCAGGGAGGCACCCTAGGGGCCAACCCAGATGTCCTAGAGGGAGATCTTTTGCTAATTGGGTGGCTTAGCAAGGCCAGCTCAACAGAACCAAATACACTGACATTTTGCTACCCTAATACTATGTACACTCACATTGTCCTGGGACATGTCCTTCCATGCTGGACCTTCCATGCCAGTCTGGGACCCATGAGTATGAGGACCAGGGATAAGAACTCCCCCCATCTCTGTCTACTTTCCCCACTAAGTCTGCTTCCTATACATTACAGCGCTTAGAGCATATACTGTTACCTTCCTGCATCCATATCTAATCACATCTATCTAGCCCCATGATCTCACATACAAACCAAACTCACCCAAAACCACCCTAAGAAAGCCCACTTACGCCAATTGTAAACTTGAACTTGAATGGGGGGCCCTCGAAGAACGCCGCACAGTTATCATCGCTCCCTGTTGCTAGTCGGTAGGGCCTGCTCTGCTTGATGTCCACACTGTTGATGACTTTGTTGTGTCCTGTGATCTCACCCACAGAAGAGCCACTGTCCCATAAGAAGACAGCTCCAAACCTTTACCCAGTCAGGGTCAAGGAGAGAAAGAGAGAGGAAAAAGAAAAAAGAAAATCAGTCCCAGAAAGACAATGGGAACCCAATGGTAAAGCTGCTGGAGCATAGGCCTATGGTGGATGTTGCATGCCAGTCTAGGACTGACTGGTTACACTAAGGACTGCTTTGGGGCTTTCAAGCTCATGTCCAAAGGTGTCCGGGAACAGATGCAGACTATGCAGGAAAGGGGCCAGTGTCAGCCCCTCCAACGAGGACGACGCTACAGGAAGCAGAGCTGGGGAACATCTTTCTGGCTCCATCACTTCCTAAGTTTCTTTGGGAAGGCCAGCCAAGTTGTTATCTCCTGGTGGAAAGGAGCTGGCCTGCTCGGTGCTAGCACCCATGACAACAAATTGTAGCTACTACTTGCTACTAATGAGAAAAACCTGGGCTGCAGCTCTCGCCCTGCTGGATACTAGTCCCATCAGGGCAACCACCTCCCCAACAGATCTGTTCACCTCTTTGACATGCACAGAGAAACCTCAAGTTATGAGCCCATCTAGAGGACAAGCATGCCCAGCCCTTCCTGAAGCTTCCAGTGGTCATGTGTAACTGCTTAAAGGGATCCCCCAGTAAAGGAACACACTTTTTTTTTTTTTTTTAAACCACCTAGCCCTTTCTTGCTGCCTGGACTAGAGTCCAGAGTTCCAGGAGGTAATGGGTTTAGAACATTGCAGCATAGACAGAGGAGAAGGCTATGCCTTGGTGACACCCCTACTGTGATGCGGCGTGTCTCTGATAACATGACAAGCTGGCCCTGAAGGGGTCAGTGACTCCAACTAGTCACAATACTGGGAAATGAGTGCTGGCTGGCATCCTCTGGAGCTGAATCTCATTTGCCCAAGCCTATACAGACCTTACTGCAGTTTCTTCCTACAAAGAGGCAGGCCATAACACAAGTATGGGGGTAGGAGCAGGGAGGGGCTGAGGTGAATGACTCACTTCTCCCTTCCTTCCCCGACCACGGCGATCCTCTTACTGTCTTCAGTCCAGGCAATGTCCTTGATCTTCCCAGCGAAAGGCTGGTACTCATACTTTAGAAGATGCTCCTTCTGTGTGGTATCCCAGATCCTTAGCTTCCCAGAGACATCTGCAGGACATGACAGGGCGGAAAAGCCACATTTCACCACCAGCCAGGGAAGCACAGCAACCTTATTATGTTCCACCTGGCCAGCAAACCTTGTGTAGGTAGGAAGCAGAAAAAGTCAAGGGATGGCCAAATCCCAGCACACCAGAAAGCAGTTTCCTGTAGGATTTACAAAGCACCTGCATGGTTGCCACAACACCTGGCCCGAAACCCTCCATTTCTGAAGGATGGCAATGCTACAGGGCCTACCGCTTCCTCCTGGGTGCAGGCGGCTCAGCAGACTGTAATGCTATGACAGCCTGCACCCCGTAAGCCCTGCTTCCAAAGTCAGATCTGCAGTCTCAGTCTCTGGAACATCCGCCCCTCCTCCCCACTCGTAAGAGCTGGGGCTGAGTAAGATGCTGCTGTGAGATGGATGAGGTGGGTGGTACAAGGAGAGAACACAGACTGTGGTGCAAGTTGTTCCCAATGGAAGGCTGCCAGCAGATTGTAAAGAAAGGAATACTCGGGGCCCCACCCACCACTTCCCAAATTAGCACCATGCCTTGCCATGGGAAGAAATGGGAGTGCTTTAACTAACTCTTCAGGCTTACAGAGCTCATGTGACCTCCAAGAAGACAGTCAGGGTGTAGCTTTTCCTGAAGATGTCAGACTATATTAGTGAGCACTGAGTAGAAGCAGCAGCAGAAAACAGCATCCCTTTCTGGGTTAAGCAGAAGTGAGGGACAGCAATGGCAGCTCCAGCCAAGGGCAACAGCCAGCATCCAGACCTTGTGAGTCAAGTGTTCAGGAACCAAACCTGTCTCTGTTGGATATGGGCTTCTTGGACCTCATCAGAACCACATCCATGGCCCCTTTGAAAAACCACTACCTACAGGGCCATCTCATGGTGTTGCTGAAGAAGTCACGTGTCAAGTCTCAGGCTACCCCTCGGGGTGCAGTCAGTTCTTGTTACACGTGAACCATGAAGTAAGGCTCTGCACACTACAAACAACACAGGGTCCCTGTGTAGAGCAGTGCTTCTCAACCTTCCTGATGCTGGGACCCTTTATAGAGTTCCTAATGTTGTAGTAACCTCCAAACTTCAAATTGTTTCTTTGGTACTTTGTACTGTAATTTTCTACTGTTATGAATTACAATGTAGTATCTGTGTTTTCCAATGGTCTTAGAGGACCTTTGTGAAAGGGCCATTTAATCCCAAAAGGGGTTGTGACCCACATGTTGAGAATCACTGGTGTAGAACCAGGACATGCATGAGACTTGAAATGCTGTTCTTACACCTTGTGTGTACACAGGAAAGGTACTGCCCCCCAACATACACAGGCATCCTACACACACATCTATATGTACACACATGTATGCATATGTACTCATGAATAAAAAATGTACATACACAGAAACCACACAGATACATATCCATGTACACATGCACACATGATCATTAGGTCCTTATCAGGGCCACACTGTTCCCTGGACAAGACAAAAGGAGAGGATGGAAAGTGTCCTTCCCTTTCAGGCAGGACAGGACTCTGCTTTTCTAGCCCTGCTGTCACTCTTCATGTAGTTTTCCTCCAGTCCGGAGAGAGGGCCCGGACCTCTGTTCTCTCAAGTCTCTACATGTTGACTCTCCCCTACTTCTTCCTCTCTCCTCCTAGTCTCCTAGTCCTGCCTATCTTGCTTTCCCATTGGCCAAGAGTGCTTTATTCATTAACCAATAAGAGAAACATATTTACAGATGACATCTCTCATCAGAGCAGAGTGGCTTTTATTCCCTAAGGAGACCCTGTCTGTGGACCTCTCCCCTTCCCTGTGGTACCCTTCTACCCTCCATCTCAGGCCTCCCTTCAGGAAGCCTGTCCTGAACATTGGGCCAAATCAGACACCCTTCTGCATCCCCAGGGCTGTCTGGGAATAACTGTCAAGAGTCAAGGGCATAAAGGAGCAAACAAGCATCAATATCACTCCAAGATGTTGAAGAAAACCAAGACTGTCCTAGAAATAACTTCTATGATCAGAGGGCCTTTTCAAAGGTACAGGCTCCAGGGACCCAGACCTCTTATGTACACTTAATGTTCTTGCCAGAAGGTTCTACCTTCCAGTAGCTACTGGCCAGCTAGACTGACAGCATCTACATATTTCAAAGAAACAGGAGCCCTAGCCAGGGGGGAGATGTAGGCTTCAGGGTACTGGAATTCAGCCCTGTGGGCACACCCATTAGCAGCCAGCCTACCCATGACAGCACAGCCTTTCCTAAGCTTCACTACCTCCTCCCTTATTCAAACATGCAACACTATTTTTAGATCAGGGCCTTCATGTGCACAGCAAATGTCCCACTGTTACTCTTAACAATCACTTTGCCTTCCTCAAAGAAATACATTGGAAATGTGAAAAACGTGACCTCCACCCATGAGCTCCCTCCATTCTCCCAGCCATCCAAGGAGTTTTTTAAGAGATTTTCTTGGACTGTCCTTTGTCGCACCCTCTGCAGCAGTGTTCTACATAGACTCTGCATTCAGTCTGAAGGCCATCAGATTTCTCTTATTCAACAGCCCCATGGGGATAGTGAGGCCAGGTTTAGGCCCACAGGCTCAGGTGCGGATGGCAAAGAGGGAGCTGTGCCAAGCTGGGTGGCTGCCCTCACCAACAACCTTCTCCTAACAGAATTCTCAGGCACGCAGCCCTGTGTTAAACACAATTTTATAAGGCACTCCAGCCAGATCCTGGGGTTTAAATGAAGAGACATTTTGTTGGCAAGTAGGGCCAGAGGCAAAACACTCTACAAGATTACAACAAATCACCAGACATGAGTTAGTGTTCCATAGAATGGAAATATCTACACACACACACAGAAAAGTGGCCCACGGGTCAGGTTCCTAGCCTGGCCGGCCGGTCAGTTATGGTCACAGTATACCTGCTGCCCTGCCTCTGTCAGTACAGGGCCCCTTCTCTTACATGTGCCCTGCTTCACTGACAGCTGCCATGGCCATCCCTAGCAAGCTTTGACTACTAAATACCAAACACACATCATCTTGCTGGATCCTCAATCTGTAGCCCCAGTTCATACAGAGAACAAAGGTACCAGAATGTAAATTAGTGGACTGTGAACGTACAACCAGTAAGGGGTGAGCTTCAGGCCCTCCCAGCCCTGCAGCCTGCCATCTCCTAGACACCACCACCAAGGGTACGAGGGCAGTGTAGATACAGGCGGCCACAGCACCTAGAAATCTCAGTCCTCCCTGTTCTAAGTGGCTGAGCTCTCTCTCCCAGCCATCACTCATTCATACATCCTTCCCTGTGGTGGAAAAAGAGATAAGCAAGTAGACCATTACTTGTTTATTGGATATTTGAGTGGATAAATGAATGCGATGCTGAGTGCACCACTTTACTTTTTTTGCTTTCATCTGTAAATAGTTAAATTCTACTTCTAAAAGCTTAGTGTAAGCCCACAAATGCAAACAACTGCCTGTCCCATCTGCCACAGTCCCCCACTGAGATACAGAGGCTCAGGCCTGAGGGCATAAAGGCTAGGTTCTCATACAATGCCAGCACTGGTTGCAAGGCTGGCTGGAAAGGAGCAGCCAGTGGATTGACACAAAATAGCCATCACATTCCCAGGCCTACTTCCAACAACATAGTGCAGATGCCCAGGGGCCTCACAGAAGGGTTTCTGTTGACCTCCAGCTGGAACACGGCAAACTATAAAGTGTCCATTCTAGTGTATAATTTTCTCCTCCTCTTAACTTTAGCTAGTCAATGGTGCTCTCCATGCTCTTAACCAGTGCCCACCCCTTTCCCAGTTGGCAGATGCTACCTGGGCCACACGTGTCCAGGGACAGCATTCATTACCTCCAGAAGCAATGTAGAACCCGCTGGGTGCATACTTGGCCACTACCACCTGATGGGCATGTTCTGTGTAGATGTCAGCAATAGCAGGGTTCTGTGGGGAGAAAAGTGGAGGCTTGAACAGAAGGAATGTACAGGCACCAACAGCTGCTGGCTCCCAACCCAGGCCCAGGGCTAAGGCATAAAATGCTTACCATTAGACCATTATCGGACAAAGTCCCAAAAAGATAACTACCTGTCCATCCACTGAAACCCATCTGGCCTCTTAGGGTGAGGGAATCTTAGATCCATTTTTGCTGGCTTGCTTTATTATACTTCCCACAATATACAACAAATATGGACCTATGGAATGCTGCCCAAACTAACATTCATTCACGAGTTCTACGGCTCTCCTGTCCTGCATGGAAAACTATCAGCAGACAATAAATTCATCTAGTCTATTCCCACACTGTCTCTCCTGAGCAGTGTCAATCCTACCCAAGCACCCTTTGGGGCCTGTCAAAAGATTGCTCCTGGCTTTGATGTTCAGGAGCAGAGGAGGCATGAGGCTGGGGGCCTTCTGTCAGAACTTGGATGTGGGAAGAAAAGAAGATTTCCTGCACCTTCCCACAGCACACATCAAAAATGGCTGGACTTGAAGGAAAGAATGGGGTAGAATCTGGGTCTAGAAGCCAATCTGTTCCTCAGCAATGATGTTTTGGATGTGTAATTCATAAAAGCACATCCCTGTTCATTTATTCCCAATCCCCTCTCTCACAAGTATGCACATCCAGGCAGTCTCCCAGCACAGCCATAGATGATCCTCAGCCTCTCCAGCTAAGCTTGCTTTCTGGAAGGAGTAACAATGAGGCTGTCTATCTTTCCTGCTGTCAACTTTCTCCGGACCAGTACTCTCTGGGAAAGGAGGCAGCTTCCTACATCCAAGGCTCGCTGAAGTCACAGGGAAGAGAGGCTCAGATAGTACCGAGACTTCCCAACCCTAGAGGTTTGTTTATTTTTCATATGAGAGACCCCATACAGCCCCCACTCTAGAGACTGAGACCACCCGCCTGCAGCCACCTACTGGACTGCTGAGTGATCTCACTTCTCTGTGCATGTTGGTCCCTGGTCCAGTACACATGCCTGACTGTGACCACCACTCACTCATCTTAAGTGGCATTTCTTCCACATCCTTTACAAAACTTGCCATGCTGCTTACCAGCTCTTCTGTAGTAATTACTGCAGTGCAGCAATCACCACATCCCTGAGGGGGCTGCATGGAAAGCTGGGGACCCAACTCCTTCACACAGCAAACCTGCAAGACTTTAATGTGACTTGCTTCATATGATATCCCATGAGACATCACAGCACTTAGCTAATAGTGTGCTAAATTCATGATATGTGGTGAGGGAAAAACATTGACAGTCTTTCTCTTTCACCTAAAACTTAAGCCATAGAATAAACATGTGCTAATACAATAAAACACAGAGAACCCAAAGACCACACTGAATATTAAAGTCAGCACATAATCAAGAGTTTAATAGCACTTTTGGGAAATGAAAATCAAAACTATCACACCTATAAGGACCAATGAAACCAAAGACACCAGTTGCTAATGAGGACAGAGGGAAGGGGCACTAGACCGTTCACACAGTGCTGATGGAAACGTAGCGACACAGTCGGAGGATCGGTAATTAAGTTAAATGCATATGGGGGGGGGCAAGATGGCTTGGTGGATTAAGCAACCCAGTTCAATCCCTGGATCCCATAGAAAGGTAGAAGGAGAGAACTGATTTGCAAGATGTCCTTTGGCCTCCACACATGTGCCACACATGGCCACCAATGTTAAAAATAGATCTAAAAAGAAAAGAAAGTTGAATATACATTCAGGAAAAATCCCAACATTGGAGTCCTTTACTAGAGAAATGAAATCCCGTGTCCACAAAAGGCCACCAGGTAAGCCTTATCAAGGGGGAACCACCCCAATGGCCACCAGCAAGTGAAGAAAACTAGCTGTGGTAAATCCATCCACTCTCAACACAACACTGTTCAATCATAAAATGGACCAAACTACTAACACCTACCCAGCTGTACCTCCAAAGCATCAGTCATGAAAAGCCAGGAGCGAGTTCTAGAATGGTAGCCCCCATCAAATCTGGATCAGGAACTGCTGAGGACAGCATGCCTGGTAGGAAGCCAGGGGCTTTCTGGAATGCTTTGATGGTCTGGTCAAGCTGGGCACTCACACAGAACACTAAACCTCACTGAGGCAACTGCCCTTTTCACATTCTGACCAGCCCCTTCCTTTACAGCACCTGACATTCAGAGCTGGCTCTGAAACGCCCATCCATCCTCACTCACCTACAGCTGACAGAGCCTCCTGAGAGCCGTGAACCCTGCTCTAGCTACAGCATTCATTGCCTTCCAAGGGAAGGAAGCAAGTCAGCAGAAAAGGGTAACCCAAAATGAGGAAAGAGGTGGCAGAGGCCAAGGGATCACACTCTGCTCCTAACATTCCTGACCCTAAATGGTCACGGTGCCTGCAGAGGGCTTGTAAAGCCCCAAAGGGCACCAAATCCCGCCTAAGCTGGATGAGTCATTCACTCTCTCACTCACTCACTTTCGTTTGTATTCTGAATACAACTGGGTCAAAAGACTCCAAATTACAGATAATGACTTGATCTGAGTCAGCAGGCTCCTCCCCAACTCTCCCAGGCTCACAGCAGGTGCAACTACTAGTGCCAGGAAGATGGGGTGGCTTCCTTGACCCACACAGCGGTGTGTCCCACTGCAGGAGGCTCAGCTCAGGCCACAAGACACCCATTGTGATCACACACACACACCCTCACCCCTATTCCTCAAGCACCCTCTCCCCAGCTGCCTCTCTAGGTTGAGCAGCCTGTCTGAGGAACCAGTTTCAGGAGCGTGGGGGATGGTTACCGCTGTGTGCAAGGCCCACTGCCCTAGTTGGGCTGGGGTCACCATTCAGAAGGGCCTCCACATGGTGGTGTCCCTCAGCCTAGACTTCCTTCTTACACCACTGCAAGGGGCATGGGACCAGGTTCCAGCCATCAGGTCAGAGGCTACAGGATTCCTGGGAGAAAGTAGAAAGTGACACCTGCACGGAGACCCGTGGGGCCAGCCTACCAGGCCTGGTTCTCCACCAGGGATGCCCAGTGCTCCCAACCAGCCGTGGAATACACTCACCTTTACCCACCACATTTCAACCCAGTAATTCCTGTCAGTCCTGGCGTTAGCAACAACTATTTAGCCAACCCCTCTACCACCCATTAAGCCATGTCCTTAGACATTAGCTGGCCCATGCTGTGCCCTGGGACCACAGGCTTTTCTTCTGGAGTTCCCAGTATTACATCTTGTCTAGGAGGTCAGCAGCAATTGGCATAGCCCCTGCAGCCTCCAGGGCACTGGGGAGCCCCACCATTCACCTGGTCGGGGTAGAGGCACACTTCCAGGAAGGGCACTGTGTTCCAAGTACTCCCAGGCTAGCAGGGACTGGGAGCAGATCCTGCTAAGGGCAGGCCTGTGCTAAACACAATGTATACGGCCCTTCCATTTCACCCCGTGTTACTGCAGTAACCCAGCTCCAAAGCAGCACACACCTTCACACACCCTGAGCGGACTTTATGCTGGGCCAAGCTGAGCCCCAAACTATACCACGCTGAAAGAGAACTGGAGGAGCCAACTGACTTGGTACAGTGCCAGCCCTGGGCAGTAAGCACAGCTGTGGTTCACATGCTGACCAGCAGGAGTATTGGTTAACCTAACCCAGCAGACACCAACCAGCACATCAGACACCTTCCCAGGCTCCATACCACAACTCCTAGCTCACCATGGTACACAGTGCTTTGCCTGCTCGCCCCTCATCCGGCCTATGCTCCACAAATCACTGCTTAATCCCCTCCCTTCCATCTAGGCTGTGCCTCCTTCCTAGTCCTCAACCCCCCCCTTCCCCATTGAAGACTAGTAAAAGGCACCCAGCCACATGGCCTTCCCTGGTGTGCCATGCTACACTACCACACATGCTCACCACACCCACATCCTCTATACTAAGTGGATCTCACACTTTAAGCAGAACTTGTGTGTTTGATTTATCACCCTAAAGAACCCTGTATTCATTGTGATAGGCACTAGGTAGACCCTTCTATTGACACTCCTTGCAAGAAGATGTGACCCAGGCCAGAACTTGAAATAACAGTCTTCATTCCTCCATTTGGCCCCATTCTCTGTCACAGCTGGGTATCAGTGTTAGTCTAATTCCTGAGCTCAGGAGATAGAGCTCACCCTGGCAGACAGAAATATACACAGCTGTCATGTTAGATGGAAGAGGCTCTTGAGAGGAGGTAGGGTGGTCACTTACTGGTCTAAGTATCCTAGTGTGACCTGAAAGCAACAGTAACCCTTGGCCTGCGTCAAGATGCTGCCACCGTGTCTCTGTACCTCCTACCTGCCCAGCACCTACTGAGCATGAGTCTTTGGGGGATGACTCCATCTACCCAATCCGGAGGCAGTGGAGATGTCAGGACTGGATGGTGGAGACATATGCCTTTAATCCCAGCGCTGGAGAGGCAGAGGAAGGCCTCAATTCTCTGTGAACTGAGGTCAACCTGGTCTATAGATTGAGTTCCAGGACAGCCAGGGCTACAGAGAAACCCTGCCTTGAAAAAAATCAAAATAATAATGGGTATTGAAGGGTAGTCTGAGCTACACACACAGCCTCTAGCTGCTGTAGAGTCTTCTTAGCCCAGTCTTCTCCCTCATCCATGTTGTTGCACTCACTACTCTACCTCTACTCAACTGGTACCCAGAGATTCTACCAGAACCCAAAGAAGCTGACTGCCTTGTGTTGAAGCACCTTGTCTAGCCCTCATCCACCAGCTAGGTGGTCTTGGATGAAGAGAATGGAGTTCCTGGCTCTGTGCACCAAGCTGCTATTGTGAGCTCATTTCTGCCTAGGTGGTCATCAAACACAACTTGTTAGGAGGACCTCAATTTGCTATGACAATGTGCTCTATGTGCTTAAACCTGTACCCCAGAGGCTCACAGCCATCCTGAAATGCAGCAGCTACTCATCAGGTATGACCCTGACAGAGGAACCGTTAGTCAAGACCCGTTTTTTCCATCTCCACCTTCCAGGGCACGCATAGGCCCTTGTGCACAGGCTGGTAACAGATGGTGCCAAATGGAAACTTTTTTGGGTTCAACCTCCTCCAAGGGGTCCAAAGACACAAGCCCGTGATTAGTACAATTGCTGTGCACCGTTTCCCAAGACCTGATTTTAGAGGACCAAGTTTCCCAAATATATCACAATTCTATAACCGAGGAGCCAAATACCTTTTTTAAGTTCTCCCCACTTTTTTTTTGGGGGGGGGTCACATGTGTCAAGGTACATAACTAGAGTTTTCAAATGCCAGTTTCCAGATGGCCTCCATCACCACATGCTTTAACTCTGAAGAGAATTTCCTCTCTAAGTATGGCAACAGAACATGGGAAAATAAACAGGGAGCACCTTTACTACCAGCTAATTCAAAAGCCAGGTCCACGGAGCGTTTTCAGTCAGAGAACAGCTGACAGGCCACCGCAGTAGGTACCAGAACCTTTAGGGTACAGTGGTGCCATGCATTCTATCCCTGCACCAGGGAGGCAGAAACGGGGATTTGGAATTTTATGCAGCCTTGGCTGCATAAACAAGAAAAGAAATTAGGTGTGGTGAACTCAGTGGGCTACTGTGTTCCAGGTGTTCCAACGTAAGGGCATGTGGTGAACGACACAGGAAGAGCCCTGCTTTCCTGAGTTGCAGGCAAGGGAGAACATCCTTGAACACTTAGGAAGACCAACAGAAACAACAAGGGCTTGGTTCACATTTACTGCTGGCAGAAAGCAAGAGAAGGCCAGCGGCAGAAATACCGTTTAGGAAAAAGGCCCTCTAGTGAGGTAATTTCTAAACACAAGCACAAGCCTTGTGGATACTAGAGAATTACTATCCAGGCAAAGGCCATACTGCCAGTAGGCACTCAGAGGTACATGAAGAGTGTGTGGCATACGAGGAATGAGGGGGCAAGTAAATCTGGAGCCGACTGAGAAGGAAGGTCGGAAGAGCACTGTCACAATGCTGCTGAGTGTGAGCCATGTGGAGGAATGATGAGAGCTGCTCCAGCAGGCACAGTAAGAACAGACCTCAGGGCAGCAATCATGGCGCCTGGATACAGCAGGAAGCTAAACAAGGCAGGGCTGCAGATTCTGTGGGACTCTAATGAAATGCGACACGTAGCTATAGAGTTCAGAGTAGTCTTTGCTTTTGTACCGTAACACCAGAGCGACAGAGCTGAATCTGGGGGAAGAGGCATCCAAGGACCCCAAATGGTTTCAGGAACACAACACAGAGGTGTGAGAAGTCTACAAAGCATTCAGACCTCCCATGACGTGGTGCTAGCTTTCCAGCCTTCCTGAACTTGCATTCCTACCAGACTACCTTCCTTCCTGAAGCTTGAATGTTCCTGAGAATTCACACCTCATTTTCTCTAGCAACACTGTCCTAATAAAAATCTAACCCATCTCTGAGGACCAGTAGCCCAACAGAAAATTAGTACATGCCTTATAATATCCAGCACACAAAAGGATGTAGTAACAGGACCCTACAGCATGCTGCCCTGACATGCCAGGAACTTAACCTGGGCGGGTACAGAAGGGGCTGCACCTCCAGGAGAGAAAAGTAGCCTGGAGGGGAAAGAACTGGCAGGGGTACACATCACTGGAGGTGAGTCCCCCCCCCCTTAACCACCCTGTGCACTGTCCCTCTGACAGTATCAGGCCAGTGGATTCAAAGGACAAGCTGACCTACACCGGTTTTCCCAACTGGACGTGAACAGACCGAGTGAAGGGAGGCAAAACCAAATTCCCCAAAGCTCAGGGTATATGAAGATGCTTTAGACATCTTTGTCAATCCACAGAGCGCCCATGTGGCCATCTCCATTTTCCCTTTACTTTCTCTTATGATCTCATGCAGTGTTAAGCCCTTGAGGCGGCTTCCCCAGTTCTAAGGAGGTAGGATCCGCTTTCTAGGAATCCATGCAACTAGCAAGGCAGGCCCATACCTAAAATCCCACCTCACTTGAGGTATCCAACAATCCTTCAGAGGTCAGAAACTACCGCAGAGCTGATGACTGGCTGGCTTCATCAGGACACAGAGTGCAGCCTCTCTTGTTCACAGAGAAGCCAGGGTCTGCCTGAGATGGGTGTCTGTGAGCCACCTCACTTGACCAATGACCAAGTCGCCTTGGTCAAGCAGTCAACCAACACCTCCACCCCTCTACCGGTCCTTCACCAAGCATGGCAGCCCCTAACTCCTGGCTGCCACCTCCAGTTTCCACCCCACACCATTCTTAGGGCCAAGGAGGGGAGGGACAAGGTTTGAGCCACCATCCTGGAGATGGAGGCAGACTGACTCATTTCAACAATCAGAGGGAAAATATTAATTTGCAAGGACCTCCCAAAATGCTGGCCTGGGAACAGCAGGTTATCTGCAGAGAGCCACCCAGCTGAATACACTAGTTCCTGTTTCTTCTGAGACTCAAATCCAAAGCAGTTGGGAGTTCCGATGACTGGGTGTGTTTTCTGGACTCTGGCACACCAGGAAGCCGGGCATATTAGGATGATTAAGCAGAAGGGCCGTTTACCAAGTGCTCCATTTGTGCCCGGCACAGTCGGCACGAGGACGGATGACCAGCTCATTCAGCCAGTCCAGGCAGCCAGGGGAAGTGGAGGATCATCTCACTATCTCCATTTCCCCAATGCGGAAACTGAGCTCAGGGAGGACCAATCACCAACCGACCACGTTCAAGCAGCAGCACACTCAAAGCCCTTGGCTCTAAGAACCCAACCGATCCAAGCCTCAGTTTCCCAGTCAATGGGGGTGGGGGGGGGTGAGCAAAAACAAGTCCAGTCATCTGAGCCTTCCAAGGTGTGGCTCCTGGACAGAAGGGGCGTGGCTCCCCCTCTCCCCAGGCCAACCCGCTGGGAGAAGAGGGGGCGGAAGGGCAAGAATTCCCGGCTCTGGAGGTAACTCGCAGGGCAGGGGGGGAAACAGGCCACGCCGGGCCATGGGGTACTCACATCGATATTTCTCAGGATGACGCACTTGCCATTGGTGTAGAGGAAATGATCGCCCTTGGGGTCTCCGCCGAGGATCTTGGAGACGCCCCGCTCCACTTGGGGGAGGCTAGCGAACACCTTCTCTGGGGAGACACAAACGCCGAACGGTGTATGAAGGGCGGTCCCGGACACTGGGGCCCCGGGGAGCCACAGGCGGTCAGCGCCGGGGGTCCCAGGCCAGTCACCTGTTGCCGCGGGCGGGCGCGGCCGGCGGACTTCCTGGCCGGCGGCGGCGGCCAGGCCCCGGGGTCGCGCAGTTCGGCCTGTCCAGCCCACGGTAGCCACACCGGGGCTCCCGGCCCGCACCCCGCGACCGTGCACGACCCCAGCCGCGCCCTCCTGCCTACACCGACCCCAGCACCCGGCGGCCGCGCGACGAGGCCCACGCACTCACTGATCTCGTACGGCATCCTCGCCCACTTGTTACGGCGCCGCACTCGAATGGGACCTCGCAGTGGCCGAGCCCGGGGACTGCGCGGAAGGCGGCGCCGGGCGTGCCGGGCGCGGAGGGGGCGGTCCGAGGCCCGGCTCCGAGGCCCGCTCGTGCCTGCCCTGCGCGTTGCCTCTGCGGACGACCCAACCCGGAAGCGCGGCCCCGGCGCGGCTCGCCCCCAGCTTTGACCATATATAGTCAAGCGCTCGGCTCGCAGGCTGCAGCCCCACGAGCCTGCGCGGACACCGCCCCGCCCCTCGTGCGGGCCCGCCCCGGAAGTGACGCCAACACACGACCCGTGAAAAGGCGGCGCGGGCCGCGGTGGAACTCTGCGGGCACCCGATGTGAGCTTCCCGTCCGTCTCGTGGTGCCCGCTCGGCCAGGCAGTTTTCGGCCACCTTGGCGCCTGGGCTTGCAAAAGATTTGACGCCGTGGCGCGTATGGCTTTTCTTTCTTTCTTTTTCTTAAATCTTGCTTTTCACTGGTCATACTTAGGGACCCTCCTTCCTTGAGGCAGAAACTTTATAAAGTGCTTTCTAGGTCTGAACTGTCTTTCCTCCAGCTAATCTTTCTCTTAAAATTTCCTAGTAGCAAAGAAGCCAAGAGCAAGGGATGTAATTGCTAAGGCGGCACGGCCAGTTTTCTAAATATGGGGCGGGCGGGCTGGGGGGGGCGCATAAGGGTTGGAACTCCGTTCTTGGGGGCGAGGGGGAAGCAAAGCCTGGAATTTGCAGAGCAAACCGAAGCCGCTTAAGACCTACTTGCTTGAAAGGCTCAGAAACCCTAGTTGGGAAACCGGAGAAGTGGTCTTTCAAAGGGAAACTCTTCTGGGAATTTGCCTTAGATGAAAGTCAAAGTCGGGTTTAGAAGTTGGAGCCGAGTTTGTTTGCCTTGCTAATTACTCCTGTCAGACCGACCCCCTACTCGCAATTCATCTGGCTGGCTATCCACCTGTTTGCTATCTGGCCTGATCTAGCTTATTTTACCAAGTTGCTATCTAGTTAGTAGTTAGATGAACTTAGCCCACAGGAATTGAAAATTTCAGAGAGCTTTTGCAATGTCTTCCTAGGGCTTCTGTGGATCCTCAGTGTTAACTTGAGACTGTATTCTGTTTGCCATAGTATCCTGTCTTCCTTAGTACCTAGTCTCTAGTACTCTGACACACAAGCATTCTCGAGTTTCTAGGAATGCTAACCCCTGCGCACTGATCTGTTGCCTTCCAAGATTGCTGCTTTCTAAGGGTCCTGCCCAGTTAACTTCTCTCAAAAGTACTGACATAAGTCACAACTTTGCTCAAGAAGTTTCACCTGCCCTTAAAACTGTAACCAATGAATCTCCCCTTTCCCAAGTTTGAAACTAACCTAGAGTCCTAGTTTGTTCTCCCTTGCTCTATGATGGTTGAGCCACAAGCGACTTGTGGCTACTTAACTACAATTATGACTTCAACTTACCTACAATTATGACTTTCAAACAGTCCCTTTGTTACTCTGGCTACCTTTAATGCACAGTGTGGAGTAGAAACATTCCACTGGCTCTAGTCTACGGCTGTGCTAGAGAAGTTTTCTCAACAGCAAGATGTCTGACATACGATTCTGGGACAAGATAGTGTAGGCTGGGGGTTTTCTGATCTATTAGAATTGTTCTAGAAAACAGTTGTTAAAGATAAACCTTTGTAAAGCTGGAGAGATGACTCGGCAGTCAAGAACGCTGACTGCTTTTCCAGGGAATCTGAGTTCATTTCCTAGCACCCATATGGCACCTCACCAAGGAATTTGGCACTTTTAGACATAATGTGCAGGCAAAGACATCAATGAACATGAAATCTTAAGGAAACCCTTCTAAACCATAATAAAGATTGCCACTCAATATGGTACAAAGATGCTGGATCACTTCTGTGAGGATTGCTGGGGTAACTTAACTAGATGAGATGCAAGCTCATTTACAAACTGGTAACTCCTGTGTGCATGAAGTCCTGGCCCTGGCAAAGAGACCCTCCAAAATACTTCAGGACCAAGCTCTCCTAAATGTCCGACAAATCCAGGCTCTGGTATAATTTTCAGCTTAAATTGCATGAAAGCTCCGGAGAATTTGGATAGTAGGGGCAGCTTTATTGGCTATAAAACAAACAAACCATGTGTCTATAAAGTTTTCTGGGTTTTAATGTAAGGGTCAGGTCACTCAAGTGTTTCTTCACTTGGCTTGTTGGTGGGCAAATTCAGCTGGGTTGGCTCAAACTCTGCAGCCAGGTGTAGCCAACTTGTTCCTTACAGTTCTAGTCAGTGTGTGAACTTGCACCAATAAGACTTGTGTATCTGTACCATGACTTTGATCTCTATAAATGAGTCTGGCTGCTTTTCTGTGCCCACAAGCCTCTACTGCTGTTGAAGGGTGTCTTCCATTAAAGGTAGCTGTGCAAGCAAAACAGGCCAACTGAGATCATTGTTCTGCTTTCTCCTCCCTCCCCGCAGGCTTTCCAAGGTCCATTCCCACTGATGAGTGAATCGGTCTACCTTCCATGGGTTAAAACTTATTTCATGCAAACTTGTGTTAGTGCTGTCGTGTGTGTGCGTGAAGATGTCAGATCCCCTAGAACTGGAGTTACGACACCTGGGAAAAGTTACCTGGTGCCAGGAATTGAACTGGGGTGCGCTTGGAAGGAGCAGCCCCTGCTCCCTCACAACTGAGCCATCTCCCCAGCTTCCCCCAGCTTCACATTTTCATGGTAGGAACCTCACCTATCCTCATCCCTCCTATTCAGTCCTTCATCAAATCCAGTCTTTATGAAAGCACTTGGCTTGAATCTGGATTCTCTGCCTTACTTAATGCTACTCTGCTTTCTCCAGTTCCAGCTGCCTCACACCACCTGGGCCTAATTCAGTCAGTTGATTCTGCCCTGATTAGAATCCACCTATTACAGCCAGTGTTGCCCATCTTACCCCTCTACTCAGCTTTTGGCCTTCACAAACTCCTGAACTTTACCTGTCCTGTCTGGCTTTCAAATTTTTTTTGAAAGGAAACCTTTACTGATTAGGATTTCAACAGATTTCCACAAAAACAAACAAGTCTAAGACCATGTACAAGGAACACCTTTTCATTAAGAAGTATTAACAAGTTAAATACTTGATGCAAAACACTAAATAGCTAAGGCTAGATAAGTTCTGGAGACTAAAAGGTGAATAAAAATTGTGGCATACTTGCCTGTAACCCTAATTTCATCAGGCTGAGATAGGAGGACCAAATTCAGGGCATAACTGGTCTATATAATGACTCTCAACGGTCAGGAAGTCTTTAAAAATAACCTGAAATTGAATAATTGAGTAAAGAGCCCATTTCTTCAATTAAACCTAAATACTCTAAAGCTACCTACTAAGGTGATGGTGGTAAGACATACCACTAGAGATGGGATTAACCATACTAGCTGCAGCTTCTCTCTCCAGGGCTAAGGCAAACAGAATTCCAGTCTTACATGCTGTCTAGTACCATCACTAAGGATCTAATCACATAGCAGGTAGCAGTCCTTGGTAGGGAGGGACAAAGGGTTTAGCTTTAAGCTGGCCAGGCCTGTTTGCCTGAGTTCAGGCTTTTATCTCCCCATGAGCTTACTGAACTACTGAGAACATAGAGCCTTCTCATCAAAATGCTATAACATTGTAGGTTGCTGTTGGATCTATTCCAGAGTTCTGTTGTGGACCACAATTGACCTAAAGGATTTTCACATGAAACCTACTTAGAACGCCTCTATCAAAACTGAAAATTTTATTTAAAGCACTACTGCTTATCTTAGCCTTTAAAAAGCTTTAAAAGGAATGAGTTGGGTATATCAGCAGCAGTAGGGTAGGACTGTTTATAAAGACATGCAAGTAATGCTGGGCCGTGGTGATGTGGGCCTTTAAACCCAACACTCAGGAGGCAGAGGAAGGCAAAGCTCTTGAGTTTGAGGCCAGCCTGGTCTCCCAGAGTTCCAGGACAGCTAGGGCTACCCAGAGAAACTCTACCTTGAAAAACAAAAGACACACAAGTAAAAAGTTCCTTCATGGAGAACTTGTAGAGTCCATCACACCCGTGTTTTCCTTTTTGTTTTCAGAATACTCCTATTTTCTCCATTCTTACATATTCTGCCTGCCTGGCAAACCTGTCTGCCTCCAAGGCCTTGGCCAGTCTCTCCTGGCTGTCATTACCTTCTGGGCCTGTCTTCGGTAGTTAACTACTTGACTACACAAAGATGGTGACAACTGAAGCTTGGCTTTGTTACCCCTTGACTGAAGGAAGATGGCGACAGCTGAACAGTCTCTTGTACTGTTTTCCAAAATCTGGGGTGGGACAGAGGTGAAGTGTGGGGAAGTGTGCAGATTATTACCACTTAAAACTTTGGCTTCAGCCAAAGCACTTGTAACATCCAATGGCCATAATAGTTCCTCTTTACTGTCTTCAACTAGATGTGTCTGCAGTCTCCTGAATGCAGAGCTGTTAAGGGTTTCTCCAGCTTTTCCTTCTTCCTTCCTCCTGTGTTGGTGTTATTCTCAGGATGGGAAGTTATCCTAGTCACTGTCCTTGGAGATGCAACTAGTCATCCCAGGAGTTGCCTGAGTCATCTTCACAGGAGTACCCTGAAGTTGGTGTTTGACTTTGACCGTCTTCTGGGCAAGCTGGGCCCTCCTATCCTGTAATTCCTTGGGGTTCATACCTCTGTGAGCCTTCCTCCCACAAGGCGAGTTGTCTCAGCTGGTCATCTTATATGCTGGACCAGTGAAGGAATGGATATGTTGACCAAGACGAGGGCAAGAAGGCAAAGAATTGCTTTCAAACATCTTAATGGTGTGATTCTGCCCTGTCTAGCACCTACCTCAGTCTCCTGTACTTGGCTCTTTCTAGGTCATTCCAGACACCTCCGTTTGAGGTCGGCTCCCTTTAAAAGCTACATGCTGTACGCAGTGTCGAACAACACAGTATTTCTCCCTTCCCCCATTAGCAGAACTTTCCAGAAAAATTAAAATGAATGAAGCTGCTGATCATCGTTGCTGTGACAAAATGGGCAGCATAAATTACAAATTTGCATTGAATTTCAAAGCATGCTACTTGAACAAAAACCAGGGACTGGAAAAATATTAATAGTTTAGTCTTGGGTAAACTGAAACTAGCTTATTAATTGATTGGGGAAAATCACCCCTTAATTGGCC